GTGATCTGGGCCCAATGCTCCAGAGGAAGGCGAAAAACCTCCAGGGCCTCGTAATGCCCCCCCCAGACACCCTGCACCTGTAAACCCGGCTAGTGTCAGCGGGAAAGGACCCTGCAGCAGCCACCAGAAAACTCCAGGAGCCGCGTTCTCCTCGCCTTCATCCACACTACGTCCAGCCTCCAGCGCAGCCTGGAATAGCAAAATACATGGGGCCTCTTCCCTTTGCCTGTGACCGAGGGGACAGGTACAATTACCACAGACAGGCACCTACCTCCTGACTAACTGGACCCCATTCTGTGCCCCTCTCAGCCTTCCTTCATATAAACAGATTGAGAGATGGGATACGTCACTGGAAAAGATTGCTTATGAAAAGTTGCCAAGACCTTTAAAAACAAAGGCTGCGTCTAGACTGGCAAGTTTTTCCGCAAAAGCAGCTGCTTTTGCAGATAAACTTGCCAGCTGTCTACACTGGCCGCTTGAATTTCTGCAAGAACACTGACTTCCTACTGTCTGAAATGAGTGCTTCTTGCGGAAATACTATGCTGCTCCCGTTCGGGCAAAAGTCCTTTTGCGCAAAGCTTTTGCGCAAAAGGGCCAGTGTCGACAGCTCAGATTTGTTTTGCACAAAAAAGCCCCGATCGCGAAAATGGCAATCGGGGCTTTTTTGTGCAAAAGCGCGTCTAGATTGGCACGGATGCTTTTCCGCAAAAAGTGCTTTTGCGGAAAAGTGTCCGTGCCAATCTAGACGCTCTTTTCCGCAAATGCTTTTAACGGAAATCTTTTCCATTAAAAGCATTTGCAGAAAATCATGCCAGTCTAGACGTAGCCCCAGGAGACTGTAGTTCTTTTGAAAAAACCCTCACCCAAGTTGAGCAATTCTGTTTTACTTTTAGAAGTTAATTTTGGTTCATGTCTTGGGTAAGTAATTTATACAAATGGGCACCTGTTTATAACACAAACTGTTCTCTGTCAGTAAGTTTCTTCATCAGAGCTGGTGTTTTTCACAATTCTGAAACAGTCACAGTAAAATCAGCACGTGGGAATCAACAACTACATTGGGCCCTGAATGTTTTGGATCCAGGAGGTAACAGTACAAATAGGCTTGGCAGAATATTTAACAAGTTCTTTAGATAAAAAAAGCTTAATTGACTGTTTAAATGTTCAGTTGTGTGAAAAGTGGGATATCGAATGCTGAAATTTAAAAGGTTAAAATAAATTGTCAGCATCACATGTTAAAAAAGCAAATATCCTTACATCAGACTTGGTTCTCAAATGCCATTTCTCTTTGTTTTTTTGAACATTCCAGGTCATTAAGCTATGGCAAAAAAATTTCATAGATTGTATGTATGGAACTGATTGTTGGTAATGGTCAGTTTCATTCACACTTTGACTGAAAAATAATCCTTCCATGTCTATATTTAATTGCAATCCTTCCGCCAGGTGAGCCAGAAGCAGCCAGAGTTAGATTTAATATCTAAGCAGTCCTCTCCATCTATCCATAGAACAGGCACGAGCTCCCACCCAGTAACCTGGGAAAGTCACACATCACCTCTGGGCACCTCTGAGAAACAACACTTCCCAACTCACAAGCCCAGAGTCTGAAACTTTGTCTACACGCTGGCTATGTCTACACTGGCATGATTTCCCAGAAATGCTTAAAACGGAACAGTTTTCCGTTATAAGTATTTCCGGAAAAAGCACGTCTACATTGGCAGGATGCTTTTCCGGAAAAGCACTTTTTCCGGAAAAGCGTCCGTGCCAATGTAGACGCGCTTTTCTGCAAAAAAGCCCCAATCGTCATTTTTGTGATCGGGGCTTTTTTGCGGAAAAGAAATCTGTGCTGTCTACACTGGCCCTTTTCCAGAACAGTTTTCCAGAAAAGGACTTTTGCCCGAAAGGGAGCAGCATAGTTTTTCCGGAAAAGCACTGATGCTTTTACAGGAGATCGTCAGTGCTTTTCCGGAAATTCAAGGGGCCAGTGTAGACAGCTGGCAAGTTATTCCGGAAAAGCGGCAGACCTTCCGGAATAAGTGGCCAGTGTAGACACAGCCTTTCAGTTTAAAGCGCAGCACTTTAAACTGAAAATATGGCCACGGTATGAGCGCTGGGAGATGTAAACCATCTCTGGGAGGGAGCTAGCTAACCATTCCCAGCACTGTAGCCTGGTTTACACTGGCCCTTTACAGTGCTGTAATTTGCTGCACTGGTGGGGAGGGGGAGGAGGGAGTTATACCCCTGAGCCAGAAAGTTACAGTGCTGGTACCAGGGTAGCCTTGGCCTGCCTGTAGAAAATAAACTTAATAAAAGGGAGGGAAGTAACTTGGGATTAATTTGGGAAACCACCACAGACAGGGTTCATAAATATAAACGTAAGTAAAAGTCCCACTTACCATATTTGAACTTTCAAAAAAAAGAGGACACTCCTGAGAAGGAATGTATCTGTATCTACCAACTCATATTGTATTAATGTGTTATATACGCATTAAAACAGCGTGAGTTGGTAGATACTGATACAGATACACTCCCCCTCTGGAGTGTCCTTTTTTTGAAGTTCAGATATGGTAACCCTAACCCCAAGTGGGTTGGGCAATGTCCTTTTCCTTTCAGGTTCTTAAGTCCAGCAATCTAAATGTCCCCTTCACATGCCCAAACCTTCTCTGCACCCCACTCACAGTTGCTGCCCTCGGGCAGGGCAAACCCAGAGTTGAGAGATGCTTCTGCAGAGCTCACCTCCCATCCTGGGTGGGGGGAGATAAAGAGGCCTCTTACTTCAGTGGTCATTCACCATCGCTGCTCACTGCTCTCCACCATCACCCTGCTGGCCACTTGTCACACCTTTTCACCACCACCAGCCGGTCAACCCTGTAGACTAGGGGAAGGTCCTTTAGATGTGAGCAGGCTAACGCCCGCCCACCTCCCAGGCCCCAATAGATAGAGTTGTTGACTCGAGTCCCACACCTTGAACTCTAGTCCGACTTAAGTCGCCTAGGGAACTCGACTTGGGTTCATTGTTTGTGACTTGAGACGACTTGAGATTTGCCAATTTTGTTAAATTGACTTGGTGAAAAATTGTCCGAAAATGCTGATATTGATGGCTTGTACAAAAGTGACTTGACATTTTTTAAATTAAGACTTGAGACTCGACTTGGGACTTGACTCAAAAGTGACTTTAGGGACTCGAGACTCAACTTGAGACTTGAACTGTAGTGACTCGAGACTCAACTTGGACTTGACAATGACGACTTGAAGACAACACTGCCAATAGGACCACCAGGCAGTCAATGACTGACCATTGACTGCCATCAACCTCTTGTCTATGACTAAAGCTCTGCAAATGTGCAGATATACGCATATCCCACTCATTTTTGCAGAGACAGATGCAGATACAAGTTTTTATATCCTTGCAAGGCTCTAGCTGTGACTTCTGCTCAGTCTCAAAAGATTTCAGCTCCTAGAAATTAAG